GTGTTTCTTCCCTGCTTCTTACTTTGAAGTGCAGTCCATGTGGACAGGGCACAAGGTTTTTTTCTTTATCCTCTTCAGTTATCTTCAGGGTATTCCCTTGTATGCTGTATTTTTATTCAATGCCTAAATGAACTTGGATCTTTTTTAGCATGTTTGAGAATGATATGATTTCATTATTCTGTTTGATGCCCAAAGGACACCCTTCATTTCCTGGTTTCTGTGACGTTTCTACTGAGCAATCCCCAGATATTTGACCAGCTGTTCAGACCTGCAATCAGCCAAGATTTCTGCTGGTTCCTTTTGCTAGAAAGTAGTACGAAATCAATATTTGTGCTAAACAAACATGTTTTGGGGGGTTCTGTGCTTTTAGGCCTTTTCAGTTGGCAGAGCTAGCAAATTTTTGTGAGAACAATAGATCACAAATTTTTACAAATATTTCCAATTCTAATTTACAGTTACAAGGACTTTACTTTTTTAATTTTATATTTACATCTCTTCAGTTATACTGAAAATCTTACTTCCCAATGACATAAATAATTATTTGGTTTATTTGCTATGTATGAAGATTATGTAAGAATAGTTTCAAAATAACAGCAGCATTATCACTCAAAAAATTTCTTTATGGTTCTATTATTGATAAAGTATAGCCCATGAGGAATAAGCAGTCAAAATACTCTATATTAAAAGTCACTAAAATAGGGCTGGAAAGATGGCTTGGTGCATAAGGGTCCTTGCTGTATAAGCATAAGAACCTGAGTTCAAATCTCTACACCCATGTAAAAAGCCAGGTGTGGTTCTATATGTGAAACCACAATGCTGGGACTAGGAGTCAACACCAAGACAGGAGAATCACTGGGGCTTGCTGACTAACAGCCTGGCCGAAAAAACGGTGAACCCAGGTTCAGTGAGAGACCCTGTCTCAAGGGAATTAGACTGAGCGCAGTAGAGAATACCTGATGTCTTCCTCTGGCCTTAGCATGGGCTCATGTACCTGTGCACACAAGCACATACTATATGTATATATAGATGTATATTAAAAATTAGAAATTACTATAAATAAGTCTGGAATTGTAATAAAGTAGATACTACATTATAAACTAGTTTGTTTTAGTGTTATTTAGAGATTGCCATTTTTAACTGTTTTGTAGTTATATAAAATTATAATGGTTATTTTTTGGTACAACCTTCAATTTTCTTCTTTTAAAAATACTTGCAAATAAATACATAGTCATGCCCTACTTCTCAGGTACATAGTGTACACACTCTCTGTACCGTGCTTTTGTCGGTTAAAAAAAATTGTAGCAGTCATCCATCCACAGTGCGGTGACACTCCACATTCTTTTTTCAGCTGCGCTGCACCACATTGCAGTGTAAAGGTGGGCTGCTGAGTCACAGGCTGAAGGTCTGTGGTTTTGTTCTTTTTCCTCACCTTACCAATAGGGCATTGTATGGTTGTGCATTATACAATAGGGCATTGTATGGTTGTGCATTCTCAGTGGCATTGTTGGGAAGCCTCTGTTTGCCCACACCCTTGGCCACAGAGTATTTTGTGAAACTGTTGGGATTCTGTCAGACTGACAGATGAGAAAGAATATTCTTTTGGGGGCTAGTTAAATGGTTCAGTGGGTAAAGGCACTTGCTGCCAAGCCTGACGACCTGAGTTTGATTGGAGGACCAACGTGATGGAGAGAGAACTGACTGGAAAGTTGTCCTCTGACCTCTGCTCACTCAGTGTTTGCAGTCTGCCCCCCTCACCCACACAGACAAACAAATACAAACAATTCAAAAAGGAAAAAAAAAAGAAGGGGCTGGAGAGATGGCTTAGTGGTTAAGAACATTGACTGTTCTTGCAGAAGACCTGGGTTTAAATCCCCGCACCCACATGGCAGCTAACTACTGTTTATAACTCCAGTTCCAGGGGATCCGACAGCCTCTTCTGACCTCCGCAGGCATTGTTCAACACGGGTGCACTTACCTACATGCAGGCAATACAAGCATACACTTGAAATAAAAATAATAAATAATTTTTTTTAAAAAAGGAAGTGTGAAGAGAGAAAAAACATCCTATATACCCATCCTTTTTGCATTTCTGTTTGTAGAGTTTCTTCTAGGGGCTGATTATCAGGTTTTATCAATCAGTTTAGATTTGCTGGAATGGCTGAGCACAGAAGCAGCCTCACCTTTGGCCTTCCTCTCTGCTTTCCCATAAATTGGGATTGTTAATTCTACCCTGTCTTGTCAGCTCTTCAGTAATTGGGTAAAGGAATGTTTTTGTAGTTTATCAGGCAGTTTTGTTTTAGTTAAAGGTTTTTGTAAATAACCTAGCCCACCCTGCCTTTAAAACAGAAGTACTTTATTTTTGCTGGCAGGAAAGATAGCACCACTATACCCCACAAATGTTGAGTTCTTTTTTTTATTTCATTTCAGCATAGAATACTTTATTGACACAATATCTAATATACCTTGTTCTGAACTGATGACCATAGGACACACATTGGATATGGCATTTTAACAATATTATACTTTGTTTTCTGTTTTCTATTTCCACATTAATTTCTACTTTTCTGATAATTATAATTATTACCAACAAATCTAAGTGGGAAATGAATCTAATAATGTCCATATTTCTAACTAAGGTCATATTTTATATAATACTAAATAAAATACTATTCAGTGTATCAGTTGCTAATTATGGGAGTACATAAACAGGAGGAGACACTAGTCCTGGGGCTAAGTCTGGTTTGCCCTGGGCCAAATCCATACATACCCATTTTTTCATGTCCATTGCAACAGGGATGAATACATGACCCACAAATTTAAAAGATACATATTACCAAACCTTTAAGTAAGTTCACAGATCCTTCATGTAGACTATGTAGGTAGTGCTTTATTCTTCACAAATATCTAATAGGTTTTCCTTAATGTATTGTAGCAGGTGGCTTTTCATATTTAAAAAATTTTTAAATCAAGAGCTATTCTACAGGATTCAACTTGATGTTTTGATACATGTGTAAATTTTGGAATGATTTAAGCTAGTTAACATGTCTGTGCCTCAGCTACTTTTTGTGTGTGGTAAGACTATTAAAAGTCTTCTCAATTTTGAAATATGCAGTATGTGATTATTAAATGTAGTCACTTTCTATGCAGTCATCATTGAGACTTAATCTTAACTGAAACTTTGTGTCTTTTAGCCAACATTCATGCCCCCTCCCTACCCCTTCTGCCCCTACTACCACCTTTGTACATTCTACATTTCTGTATTCCACTTTCATGAGTTCAACTTTTTTTAGATTCATTTGTAGCTAACTTAGGTAGGAGTTGTCTTTCTGTACCTGGATTATTTCACATAGCAAAATGTCTTTCAGGTTCATCCATGTTACTGAAAATGACAGAATTTCCTTCTTTTTAAAGGAAATATACAGGGCTGAAGAGATAGCTCAGAGGTTAAGAGCACTGGCTGCTCTTGCAGAGAACCCGGGTTCGATTCCTAGCATCCACATGGCAGCTAACAACCATTCATAACTCAGGTTCCAGGGCATCCAATGCCTTTTTCTGATCTCCAACAGGAGTGTACTTACATACATGCAGGAATACACTCATACACATAAAATAAAAAATAATAAGTAAAATATATTTTTTAAATGTTTATTATTTTTATGTGTATGAGTGTATTGCCTGAGTGCGTGTGAGTGCACCTGTGTCGTGCAATGCCATGGAAGTCAGAATAGGGCTTTGAATTCCCCTATTTTAAAGGCAGTATACATTTCATTGTATATATGTGCACCATTTCTTCATTCACTCATGGATAGACAGCTAGCTTACTTAACTGTTGTGAGTAATGCTTCAATACAGAGTGCACATACAAATTTCAGTGCCTTTGGATATACTTAGTAGGATCGCTGGATCATAGGGCAGTACTATGTATAGGTTAGGAATAACTGCTGTGTTGTTTTCCATAATGACTGTACTAATATACATTCCTACCAGTAATACACAGAGGCTCCTTTTGCTCCATGCTGTTATCTACACTTGTTCTTTTTTGTTCTTTTTGGTAATGTCATTTTATTATAGGTAATGATATGAATTTAAAATTATGTTTTCTCTATCTCCAAATTTAACAAACATACATTGAACACTTAACTCTCTGTAAGTTGCTACATTTAGGATTGTGTTTAGACACGTAGCAAATATGACTGTTTCTATAAGTTCAAAATGAAACCTTGTAGCATTTTAGTCTCTTAATAAGCTTTTTAAAATATATATATATTATTTTTATTTTATGTGTATGAGTGTATTGCCTGCATGTATCTAAGTGCATCTGTGTCATACAATGCCTATGGAGGTCAGAAGAAGTTGTCAGATCCCCTGGAACTGGAGTTACAGAAGGTTGTTAGCCACCATGTTGGTGCTGGGAATCAAACACAGGTCCTCTTCAAGAGCAGCCAGTGCTCTTAACTGCTAAGCCATCTCTCCAGCCCAAGTCTTAATAAGCCTTTATATCATGTAGTTATATTTAAAAGTTATAATATTTCACTTAATATTTAGCCACATTTGTCACATGGGAGTTTCAAAAGAGCCGAGAAAACTTTGCTTTCCTCTAACTTAAAGGCATCACCTGATTTGATTTTTAGTCTCAGTGTTTTAAGTTTTCAAGCGACCTTTATTTCAATAGTCCTCTCTGTCTCTGTGCAGTTTTTTAAGTGCATTTAAGGCCCTTGACCTTTTCATTCACTGTAATTAGTTCTGCCTCTATCACCTTGACCTATGTCCTCTCCAATATTTATAGTATTTACAAGTTTAATCATTTTAAACTACTCTTGAAAATTATTTAGAAAAAATAAACACCTAGCGGATCTGTAAACTGTTACGGGAAATGGATACAACTATAGGAAGCAGAGAAAATGTGATCAAACTTATTATTTAAACAGATATAGAATATACAAGTTGGAGCATAGTATTTTAATGTTTTTAAATGACTTCCTCATTTATTTTGCTTTTAGTTTTTACCAGATTCGTGCATCTATGAAAATTCCACCAAGAATTCCCCACAGAGTAGAAGCCAGTTTGTTACATGCAACGGGTAAGTCACTGAATACTTTCAAGTTAAAAATAAAAATCTGATGTAGCATATTGGTCAATGGTAACGTTTAATAAATACTTTTACCTTTTCATTATAAATCTAAGGTACCAAACAGCATCATTATGGTTTCCCTTATAAACAGACTTGATTAGATTTCACACAAAGAACCTATGAAAGAATGTATGTGAGAGTTTCATGAAAGCAGACACAGGTAGAAGTATCAATTACATCATGTAAGCTGTAATTTTAAAAGGTACACAGTAAAAATCCACACATAATTTGACTTATAATTACAGGGTTTTGGGGTGTTTGGTTTTTTTGGTTTGTTGTTGTTGTTGTTATTGTTTTGGTCTTTTTGAGACAGGGTCTCCCTGTACCCCCAGCTGGTCTGGAACTCACAGAGATCCGCCTGCCTCTGCCTCCCAAGTGCTGGAATTAAAGATGTGTGCCACCACACTCAGCTTACAGGGGTATTTTATGATAAAATTTATAATATGCTTTTGAATACTAGGTTTTCATCCTCTTGAATACTGGATTTTCAGATGTATGTCACCAGGCCCAGCTATAATATGCATTTTTTAAAATTATTTAATCTTGTTTGCTTTATTTTGAATTCCTAAAGTAAAAATATGGACTGCTTCACGAATTTGCATGTCATCCTTGCGCAGGGGCATGCTAATCTTCTCTTTGAAAGCATTGTTTTAACCAATATTTTTCCTAGATTAGCTACTATAATTAGAAAACATTGAGGAGAGCCAGAAGGCAATGTGGGAAGTATAAAATAGGCAGATTATTATAACTGTTATTTACCAGCGTTTGAGGAAAGTTAGAATTCGTGAGGGTAACATGATCATTTGGCATTTTCTAGCATTCCTGATATCATATACATGCTGAGCATCTGTAATCTCCAAATCTGGAATCTGAAAAGCTCCAGAAGTCGACAGCTCCACATTTGGACTGGAGTTGTAGATCATTGTTCACCTAGCATGAACGAGGCCCTATTGTAAACCCTAGCACAGCAAAGAAACCAAATCGATCCCACACTTGAGCACTGTGATAGGTTGCTATCAAAATGGAGATACACTAAAAAAGTGTTATATGAAATTATCTCAAGACTTCATGCACAGCATATAGGAATTTTTGCCTTTAACTTGGGTCTCATCACAAAGATAGCAAAACAACCTGAAAAGAAAGGCAAAATTTGAAACACTTCTTGGTTCCAAGCTTTCTGGATATAAATACGCAACCTGTAAGTGATTTTATTCCATGTAGTTAGGAAATGAAATGGTTAGTGAGAAATTCTAGAGTTAGTGTGGAAGTCTGATATTAAATGTTTCTGGGGACTAGAGAGATGGCTCAACAGTTAAGAGCACTGACTGCTCTTGCAGAGAACCTGGGTTTGAGTCCCAGCACCACATGGTGACTGACAACTGTTCGTAACTCCAGTCCCAGGGTATCTGACACCTTCTTCTGACTTCTCTTGGGCATTTATTGCATAGCACGGGTGTACCTACCTACATGCAAGCAATACACTCATACACAAAAATAAAAAGTTTAAAAAAATTTTTTAATGGTTCTCGAGATTTGAGTTGCTAGTTATCTTCTTTATCATACTGCAGATACTAACATGCTAGTTAATGTTAGATTCTATGAATTGTACATAGTAGGAGTTTTTCCTTCAAAAGACTATCAAAATATTTACTAACGACCGTTACTGCCAGGTATGGTAGAGTGCGCCTTTAATCCCACCACTTGAGAGGCAGAGGCAGCTGGATCTCTCTGCATTTGAGTCTAGCCTGGTGTACATAGCGAGTTCCAGCCCAGCTGGGGCTACAGGGAGACCAGTTCTCAAAAAAAAAAAAAAAAAAAAAAAAAAAAAAGACTGTTACTTATGACCACAAAAGAAAATAGCTTTGTTGTCTTAAGAAGGGGAAATGAAAGGTCATGTAAGTATACATACTCGTCATAAGAAGCCTTGTGTACATTCACTTTCAAGAAACACAGAGGTTGTAAAGCAACTGACTTTTCATACGGTTTGTTGCCCATCTTTGAACTTCCTTACATGTAGCAGTTGAAATATCTTGGTTTGTGTCCTCTCTTGAAGATACCAGTTGAAAAAGTGTCAGGCTTTTGCTTGTGAAATACTTTTCAAGATGGCAAGATAGTTTATATAAATTCAGAAATGTTCTTGAATACTTTGACGGATTGAATTTTTAAAATAGAATCAGTTACTATATTACAGTGAAGTTTGGAGAGAAGTCAAATTTGTGAACATTCTTAACAATTGATATTAAGGCATATGAAGGCATGAGGTTTTTTTATTTTTTTTTCATTTTAGACTGGATAAATTTATGCTGAAATTAATATTTTAGTCATTTTAATTTGGAATTAGTGAAATCACATTTTTGGAGGGGATTTTTTGAGGCAGGATCTCCCTGTAGCCCCAGCTAGCCTGGAACTCTCTATGTAGACCAGACTGGCTTCAAACTCACAGATATCCTTCTGCCTCTGCTTCCCAGGTGCTGGGATTAAAGGTGTACGCCACCATGCCTAACTGAAATCACACTGCATTTTAAATGTTTATATGTGAAATTATCTAGAATCCAGAAAAAATAGAATTGGGGATGTGAAGTCATGTGGGGATGTGAGAAGAATCGGATTGGGGATAAGGAAAGAGATAAGAATTCTAGAAAGAGAATTGGGGAAATGATAAAACATATACAAGACCAGATACATGTAAATTCCTAGCAAATAATTGAAAGGTCTAAATGAAATGGGTTAAAAGAAAACAATTTCCTAATTTCATTAATTATATTACATAGTCTTACTTGTATCAAACTGAAATATAGCTCTTTATTCATGTTAGATATAACTTCTTCATTTTCTGGCAAATGGATTTCATGTTTAAGAAATTAAAGGGGCCAGAGGGACGGCTAGAGGTTAAGAGCCCTGGCTGCTCTTGCAGAGGACCCAGGTTCGAATCCCAGTACTCACATGGTGACCAACAACTGTCCATAACTCCAATTCCAGGGTACGTGTTGCCCTCTTCTCACCTCTGAGGGCTTTGCATGACATGGGTACACTTAGATACATGCAGACAATACATTCATATACATAAAATAATAAATTAAATATATTTTAATTTTTTATTGTGCGTTTATAATTTTATACAACAGTTCTTAATCAAATCTAGATACCCCCCATCCATGTTTCCCCCATCCCCCCACCAAACTTCATATATTCCACCCTACCTGTTAAATCCTCACCAGTTAAGCATTTGTACCCAGATTTCCTTCAGTATAAATTCCTCCACTGGAGTTTAGTCAGACCATCTAGAGACCATTTGTAACTCATATTCTCCCTCACCCAGTAGCAGTCAGTCTCCAATACTTCTCAGTCTATGGCCTGCCCACCACCCATTTCTCTTCTCCCCTCTAGGCCCTTGTTTAATTTAATTGGCATGAGTCCTGTGCTAAGTGTCACCATTGCCACAAATTCACATGTGCAAGATTCCAGGGACCTGAAAGCCTCAGTTTCCCTATGTTCATGAACGAGGGGATCTGACACCCTCTTCTGACCTCTGCGGGCTTTGTATGACATGGGTGCACTTACATACATGCAAGCAGTACAGTAATATACATAAAATAATGAATAAAATATTTTTTAAAAATAAAATTTCTGTTACAACTAAAATTTTAAAATTAATAATTCACAGAATTATTTCTATCTTATTTTTCTTAGGTCCTAGATAACTACCTGAGATTACTAGAAATTTTAGCCATACCTAGTATTATGAAGTAATTCCAAGAAAGAGTGAATGTCAGAATTAACAGGCAATAGGCATAATGATAAGTGGACAAATCTCTTTGAAAGTAAAATCTTATCATATATTAAATTGGTGTAGAAGGTAGAATTAAATGTCAAAGTATTTAATCTGGTTGATGTGTTTCATTGAAAATTGCTTTGTCATTGTAACTTTTTTTTTTTTTCCCGTAAGTCACCTTGACCTAAACTTCATGAAAACATTAGCTCTACTTCTTGGTTGCTGAACTGGGAACGAGGAAGGACATCAGCAATAAGTTATCAAAAGATTCAGCAGTAGCCCTTGATGGCTTTTCCTTCTCCAGCAGTCTTTGAATGACTTTGCTTGCTGCTAAGTATTATATGCAGTTCTGCCGGGAATTCTTTTTTCTGTCCCTAGTCAAGAAAGATGCTGTCACTATCTTGATTGACAGTGATTCACAATGATGAATCTGGACAGAAGTCTTAGAATCTAGTAGTTTCAACGATGTAAAAGTTATTAGTTGTGCCATTCAGCACCTTCTGGACCTTTAAGCCATTTCTGTTCTGAAAATTGAAGTAGATGTTATTTCATGGCAACAAGGAAATGACATTTCTATGCTTTCATAGTTGTTTGTCTGAGGCTATTTGAATATTTTACCTTTAGTGATTTGTGAGCCAAGTCCATGACTAGTAGCATTCTTTCAGTGACTTCTTCCTGCCGTAACTGACCTCCAGATCCAGGATTCGCTACTTTACTTAACAGTGACAAGACTGCATTAAGAGTGAATCAGGATTTACTACATAGGTAATTTCAGAGCACCAACTCAGTCAGCCTTAATTGCATTTTATCTCTGAAACTTTGACAATTTAGATAGTTTGATATTTATATTTAGTCTTATCAGACGCTTCTTCTATCAGATGTTTCAGTTATCAAATAAATATTTTAAATTTGTTGTTTGGTCCTGATATATTCACCAGAAAAATGAAAAGTTTATAGCTGCTCAGTCCCTTTTTTTTTAAGAGAAAAAAATTCTGAACAATAGAAATGAATTTCTTTTATGGACACCTCTATTTGAGTAAGTCTCCACAATTGATATTATTTTTTTAATGTATTATTTATTGTGTATGAATGTTTTGCCTGCATATATGTAAGTGCATCCTGTGCATGAAATGTTCATAGAAGCCAGAAGAGGGCATCAGATCCCCTGTAACTGGCC